GTTGCAGGCAAATACACCCGTTACACAGTTTGAGGATTTTACTCCTTGTTACGGGGGAGTGTTTGATGTCGAGGGTACATCGACTTCTCATGTACCTAATTTTGAAGAAGGAATATCGAGAGAATGGGCGGCGGATGAGGACGATGAAGATTTTATTCCCGGTGAAGATGACTTCACAGACGAGACCTCAGAAACCGAATCAGATAGATCGGTTAATGATGAGAGTGAAGCCGAGTTCATCGAAGAAGAACACCCATTTCCTATTGGTGGTCGGCACATATACCGCGAGATGGGTGAATGGGACCCGTCCAGGATAGATGCGAACGAGTATGCTATTCCACGGTGGAATGGCGACATTGAGACCATACGTTTGGGTACAGTTTTCCGGAGCAAGGAAGAAGCCCAAACGGGTCTAATGGCTTGGAACGTCGATAAGTTGCGGGAGGTTCGGTCAAAAGATTCAAATCGGAAGACATTCAAACTGGTCTGCAAATCGAATGCAGATATGCCTTGTCTGTGGAAGGCTCGGGTGAATAAGTCCAGAAGGCATGATGATTTGTGGGAAGTAACTGAATGGAGTGACCAACACCCTTACATGCAACAGGTCGACAGAAATGACCACAGAAACGTGACCGCCCATATGATTGCGAATCTTATAATGAATAAGATTCAGAAGAAAGTGGAGTACAACGTTAACATGGTCCAGGCTGATATGAAGCAGTGTTGGGAAGTCGACGTCAGTTACAAGAAGGCATGGCATGGCACAAAAAAAGCAATCGAGTGTGTGTACGGCAGTTGGGAGTCGAACTTCGCAGAACTCCCTCAGTAAGCAAAAATTAATTACAAATATACGTGTTTTTTGTGTGTCAGTATGTTTATTTATTTACGAAATTGTTTTGTATTGCACAGATATTTTGTCGCCCTTCAAAGAGCGAATCCCAACACAACTGTAGATTGGGAATTTCAGGGTGGTGATGTGGCGCGACACGTTCCAGACAGAGAATTTAAATATGTTTTCTGGGCGTTTGGTCCCGCGATTCGAACCTTCGAAATGTGCCCGCCGGTTATTAGCGTTGATGGCACACATTTACGTGGACATTACAAAGGGAAATTGCTCGTGGTCGTAGCACAGACTGTGAATAAGCGGCTATTGTCAATCGCGTATGCGCTTGTCGACGAAGAAAGCACGGGCAGTTGGTCATTTTTCCTTAGGAATCTGCGGCGATATGTTGTATTCGACAAACAGATATGCGTTCTTTCCGACAGGGATGTGGGTCTACGCAGTGCGATTGAATCATTACCGGATTTGCAAGAACCCGCTGCGTATCACCGGATTTGCCTTCGACACCTTCGAAGCAACGTGGTGACCCGGTTCAGGAGTAAGAAAATCCGGATTGGTGTTGGGAGTTGGGTTCACAGTTGTCGAAGCAAAAGTTTCGACAGACAAAACAACGACTTCAAGAATTTAATCCCAACACATACAATTATCTCTTCCAAATTCTTTTGAACCAGTGGACCCTGTATCGAGATGAAAAATGTAGATGGGGCACCTTGACAACGAATATGTCGGCGAGTTACAACAATGTCCTGAAAGGGGTTAGGTTCCTGCCGTGCAGAGCTTTGGTAGAGGCCACATTTCAAAAAAACTCTGGATTTGTTTCGACAAGAACAAAACAAGTCCAGCAGATGCAGGAGCCCTATTGCTAGGGAGCACTATATCGCATTTTTGCAATTGGAGCAAACAACTGCAACTCACGAGGTGGAATGTACGGACTACGACAGATCCATGTACGCGGTGACAACCGGTTTACGTGCTAGTGGAAGAGGGCAAAACAAGTAAGTATATGTTTTTTTTTTATTTGTTGTTCATTCATTTTATTTTATTTTTTTTTTATTTTGTATATATATAAATAAATAAATGTGGAAATACAGGTATAAGGTTGATTACCCCGCAAAACGTTGTACTTGTCGGAAGTGGCAGACACATAGAAAATCGTGTTCTCACGCGATAGCCGTCTATCGTAGAATTGCGGGTGACCCAAAGCTGTTGTACGATGATCACTTCTGGACGTCGACCTGGGTAGCTCAGTTTACTAATTGGAGTTTTACTCCGATTGGTAATCCGGATACATGGCCGCCGGTGGGATGGAATTTGATTCCACACTGGGAGAGGATCATCTTGAAGCCTGGACCCGGTCGCAAGCAAACGAGACGCTACCGCATGCAAATGGATCGTCGGGCACGACGCAGAAATGAGAGGGGGCATTGTACTAGATGCGGTGATCCAAAGCATGTTGTGGATGAGTGTCCGTCCTCACATCCTCGCAGCGATAGGTCTAGACTTCATGATGTGTGGGGCGATTAGATTTTTTATTGTTTATTTGGATTTGTTTGGATTACTTATTTGGATTTGGTTGGATTATTTATTTTGTTTTGTTTGTATGATTTATTTGGACTTGGTTTGATGATATTTAAGGTAGATTGGTTGATTTGTTCGTGTAATTTTGGTTTAGTTGGTTGTTTTGAATATTTAAAACAGGTGCGTTCGAGTCGTGTGATCATCACCAAGTTTTTTATTTTTTTTTCCCAGTTTAAAACGTATTTACAAAATACGTTCTATAAATAATTCAGTGGAAAACGTATTTTGCGAATACGTTTTACAAATAATCATTATAAAACGTATTCTGAGAATACGTTTTATATATAAAAAAAAAAGGGTTGAGGCTCCCAGATTGGGGACTCGAACCCGGGTCAATGGGTGAGTCCAGTTTCTCTGGGCGCACCTCGAACCATTGTGCCGGATTAATACAATTGAAGTCGAATTAGTACAATTGAAGTCGAATTAGTACAATTGAAGTCAACTCACTACAATTGAAGTCGAATTAGTACAATTGAAGTCGAATTAGTACAATTGAAGCCGAATCAGTACAATTGAAGTCGAATCAGTACAATTGAAGTCGAATTAGTATAATATAACATATGTTATATTATAACATCTATGTTATATTACTATAATATAATATTAGATATAATATAATATATGTAATATTATATAAACCCTAGACCCTAAACCCTAGACCCTAAACCCTAAACCCTAAACATATGTTATAATATAACATATGTTATATTATATAACATATGATATATTATGCAACATATGTTATATTATAACGTAAACGTTATATTATAACATCTATGTTATTATATAACATATGTTATAACATCTATGTTATTATATAACATATGTTATAATATAACATAGTAATATAATAACAATAACATATAGTATATAATAACATATATTATATTATATAACATATGTTATACTATATAACATATATAACATATGTTATATTATATACTATGATATAACATATAGTAGGTAATATAATATAAAATATAGTATAAATTATAATTTTTTCTATAATCTATATTATATTTTTATGTATATGTATATAATTTGTAAAAAACTAATCGGAAAGTGTCTGCCGGCACAATGGTTCGAGGTGCGCCCAGAGAAACCGGACTCACCCATTGACCCGGGTTCGAGTCCCCAATCTGGGAGCCTCGACCATTTTTTTTGTTTTTAAGAAACGTATTCTCAGAATACGTTATATAAATAATTCAAAGTAAAACGTATTCTGAGAATACGTTTTACCTGTAAATATAAATAAAAAAAATTCTTCTTCTTCTCCTACGCGAACATACAGCAGCAGAGAGCAAGCAAAAAAAAAAAGAGAGAGCGGGCGAGCTTCAGTTCTACCGGATTCAACACCAAATTCATCAAACAAGGTATCATTTCTTATCATTTTTCGTCTATTTTCACGATTTGAAGGATGAATTGAGATATAGATGGTGTGTTTGTAGCAAAAAAATGATGTTAGGGTTAACAATTTTTTTTTTCATTTGTTTTGATATTTAATTTGTGAATTTGTAATGATTGAGATATGTTGATGAATTGTTGATATGTTTGTGTGATAAATTGATGGGTTATTTTGAAATTAATTAGAGTTTTGTAGTTTGTTTGGAAAACTATGAATTGAAGGTGTTCGATAAAATGCCTCAAATGGATTGTTGTACATAATTGCTTGTAGTTGGATGATTTGAACGGTTCGTTTCGATTATGTTAGCCCTGTTTTTTGATCGAAACGGTTCGTTTCGATTGTTGTACATAATTGCTTGGTGTTTTGTCTATTTTTTTTATTTTGTTCTAAATTAAGCTTTCTTATATGTAATGATTTTTTTTTTTTTT